TCTAGTTCGTCGATTTTCCTTTTCTCTTTCTCTTTTCTCTTTGATTGATCTGCATTCACAAGTTTCTATATTTCACAGTAATTTCTAATTTCTCATCTTAAATAATTTTATGCTTGAGTCAGGCAGTGGTGGCACATGCCATTAATCCCAGCACTCGGGAGGCAGAGCCAGACAGATCTCTGTGAGTTCGAGGCCAGCCGGGTCTACAGAGCTAGTTCCAGGAAAGTCACAAAGCTACACAGAGAAACCCTGTTTCGAAAAACCAAAAAAAAAAAAATTATGCTAAATTTATTACAGATTACTATCGAGTTGATCTCTACAATCTTGTAACAGACCTCTACCCAGTCTCCTGATTTTCCTCATTCTGTATGCCCATTCATTTTCCTTTATGGTGAGAATCCTAGCTACCATTTTATTTGTTCAATCTGATAATGCATCTAAAATACTTTGAGAATTTATCACTGTAGTCAATAAATAATTTGGATTATTTTTATCTTTTCTTCTTCCTTCCAGCCTTTATTCTTTTTTGTCATTATTGTTGTTATTGAAGAACTCAAGAACCCAACACTTCTTGACCATAATAAGAATTCAGGCTTGATTTACATAGTCTAACAAGATTTCCAAATGCAGCACTGAGTATTTAGGACTGAGGATTAAGCACAAAATGCTGTGGTTTTAAAGACTCTAGCGGCCACTTGAAGCCAACATGAATCAGAAAAGTGATAGGGATTTTTATTAAACAGTACATTCTAAACAGGAAGAATTTTAAAGAATAAAGCACTAGAGACCCTTCACACAAGGCCCTACATTTTTTAACCTACTAAAGGCATAGTAGTTCTGCTCACTCTTGGTTGAACATGGAAAGTATATACTCAGGTTGTTCTTGGGAATGTCTGCACCTCATCTTAGCAATGGTGATAGAGATGCAGATAGAGAGACCAAAGAAGGGAGAGTCTCTAGGGCTTAGGTAGAAAGGGGTTGCACAAACTTCAGGGTATCCCTTAATTGAGTGTCAGTAGGTTTCACTTAATTACTTCTTATAAATATTATGTGATTGTGTGCTATGTGTGTATGTTGCTATGTGCCCTCACCGAACGTGAGTTTGCCGTGTATGCCCTTACTCAAACATTTGAGACAAGCCTCATCATGTTCCTTCTTGACATCATTCCCACATCATTAGTAAATCCTGTGAATTGTATGTATCTATAAAACTGTCCAAATTCTGCTGCCATTATGCTTGTGAAAACCCCCAGAGTTTATTGTAACCACAAAAGGATAAGTGTTCATGCACATGTGTATCGCATGCACGCGCGCACACACACACACACACACACACACACACACACACTCTCTCTCTCTCTCTTCATGTCTTCTGCTTATTTAAAACCCCTTTTAGCTAGCTGATAATCAGTTAGGATGCCTTGTGAATGGCATGGCCCTTAATTCCCTTCTAACTTTATGTGAACCAACAACTTCACTTGCTCATGGTTTTTAACTCATTCAGTACCTAAAGACTACATTCATCCATCTCCTTTCATGGACTCCACCCCTTGATTCATCTTCTACAGAATTTAATATGACTTTCTTTTTTAAATTCTTCAAATTTCAGCTTAAATCTTATCCTAGTCTGTATTTACCAATACAGTGTCCCAGTCATAAAATTCATAGCATGTCGCAGAGTTTTGTTCTCAGACATTTAATTAGGTGCTCACACATTTTTATATGCCATTTCCCCAACAGACTATGAATTTTCTGAGAACAGGGGGGTATGCATCCCCTCAGCACTTCTTTCACTCCCCCACATAGCACTTGAGATAGGTATTGACTGTGCAGTGACTTTTAAGTGAATTATCAAAAGCACAGAAGTCTTAGTGTTTTTAGACCAGGCTGGCCTCTAACTCACAGAGGCCCACCAGCCTTTGCCAGCACCACCGAGCTGACTTGGTGTTCTCTTGTTTCTTCTGTTGTGGTTGTTCTATGCCGAAAACTAACACAACTCAGAGCAAGGTAAAAATGAAAATTTTAATGGAAAAATCAGCACACATACCGAGATTTCTACAGCAGCAAAACATCCAGGAAACATCCTGAGGCTTTTTTTTTTTTTCATCTTGAGAATCTGAGAAAGCTGAAGACCCCTACTCTGATTTACTGATTCTAAATCCACTCATTCAATCTCTGGAAATTAGGAATTTTTAAACATTTTAAACATAAAAACTTTTTCTATAAAAGCTATAGAAAATAATTCATTGAAGTTTGTGTTGTTTTCTTTTTATTCAACACCCATGTACAACCGTGGGTGTATTACTGATGAAGACTGAACACAAATTCTGAGTGGAAATCCCTTTAAAGCCAGCATCAGCCAGTGTGTTGTCCGTGGGTGATTGCTGTAGTTGGCCTCCCTTGGATTGAATGTGTCTCTCAATACTGCCTATCTGACTCCGGGGTCCTTTGAACTTAGACCATGGTTGTTTTGTCTTGTAACATGGTTGCTTCGACACTGTCACTACCTCCTTATAATTTATGATGTCCATAGCATCATTTTCAGAAGGAAACATTTTTTCACTGAACTTTTCCATCTTTCAGAACTAAATGCCCTTTCCTTCTTTGTAGCTTCCAAGTTCTTAGCAACGTAAGATATTAATTGCACAAATTAGAAATACATTTTGTTCTGGATATTTTTCTCATTTTTTTGTTTTTGCCAAAGAACTTTTAACAAGAAGCACAAAAAATTTAGAATTCGGGTAAATTAACTTAAGACTCAAATTTTTTAATACTGAAAAATATTAGTAAATGTCAACATCATCAATATTGAAGCCTCAGTAATTTTCATAGTCTTTTCATATTCCCTATCCTATATAGCTTATTAATTCAGTGCTGCTGATGTCTCTAGAGCTTTAAGCTTGCAAATTATTAAAGACTGATTTTTGTTGTTACCAAAGAGTTAGAACTCCCATGGAACAGTATTGAGGTCATTGAACAAAAACTGAAGAGAGAAAGCAAAATGATTTTATATGAAAAACCAGAATTACTAAGACAGTAATAGTACTCTACTTCAGTAACATAACCAGAGGCTTCATAGCATGTAGATGGAGAGATAGCCACCTTCAGGAAAGTGTGGATTCACTTTTCAATTTGCAGAGCAGAAATCAAATCAAACCAATGACTAAAAAGAAAATGAAAGAAAGATAACTGAAAAGCCATCTTAGAGAAAAGAGGATTCTCAGAGAATAAAAATTAACCAGAGCCCCATTTAAGGAACTTCTTTTGTACTAATGAATTTATAGCCATTAAAGCCAATTGATAACATAAACATTTTGTCTTATATAATCAAATATACTTTTTTATGTACAGCAATGTTTTATGATACTATCCAGCATCTTTGCTGTTTTTATTAACCAAATGGAAGCTTCTCAGAGTGTTGGTAGGAGCCCACATAGGTAGTTTCAGTATTCATTATGCCTAGAAAAATGGTTCAGTGAATTTTCTCAGGGGCTGATTCTGAGATTGGCCCTAATTAATGTTTTCATTAATATCATGGATGATATCATAGGATGAGCTTAATAAATTTTCCAATTATGCCAAATTGGATAGGGAAACTAGACAAGAACTTGGTTGGAAGAACTTGATTGCAGTTTAAGTGACTTTTTTGTGTTGCAGCAGAAAATGAGGCATACAATTTAGTTGAGAATAAGAGGCTGGGAATGAGCCAGAAGTGAGGATTAACTCTCATGGATGCTGTGCTTTGCAACTTAGAATTTCAAAGTTACAGGAAGATAGAATCACTACTCTAAAGGTAATATGGGATTAGTCTGACTATGAATGGGGTTGACACAGAAATACGGCGAGGCTGGGGGAGGTGGGGCCTGTATGGAATAGTCACTGAATATGGCTACAAGGACACATCCCACTAGGATGTTTGAGATGGTTTCCTGTGGTTGTGTAGACTCACCACACTTGTATTCTCCTCAGAACTGAGAGTGCACTGAATTAATGCATTGCGCTTCAATGATTATGTAAGATGAAGAATGTGGGGAATAGGGTATAGGTCCAGAGATAACCTCTAGAGTAATTGGGAGACTCCTGCAAGGGTGAATCTGGGTATTCACTCCTTGTGTATAGTACAAAGGCTATTGTTACTTTCAAGCACGTTGTTGTTGTTGTTGTTTTCGAGACAGGGTTTCTCTGTGTAGCTTTGGAGCCTGTCCTGGAGCTCACACTGTAGCCCAGGCTGGCCTCAAACTCACATAGATCCACCTGGCCCTGCCTCCCGAGTACTGGGATTAAAGGCATGTGCCACCACCGCCTGGCCTTTCAAACACATTTTAACTGTCCATTATTACAAAGACTTTCAATAGCTCTTTCCTATTTGTACAGCATCTAGAACAATACATAATAAATTTTTTTCTGAAAGAAAAATGTTACATAACTACAAAGGTAAGCTGTGTGGCTGGCTAATGGATGTGCAGTCGTTTAGATAAGTCGCTATCCCTATCCCCTCTTTCCCTCCTTCCCTCCTCTTCCTTTCTATTCCTTCCTTTTTTTTTTACTTTTTATGAAATTGAAAACATGTTAATGAGGATTTATTGTTTATATCAAGACAGTAGTAGCTGTAGCTACTTCGATGTAGCTCAGGCTAGACCAGAACTCAGTATGTAGGTCAAGCTGTCCTCTAAATCATAATCCTCTTCCCTTAACCCTGTAAGTCCTGAGATGACAGAACACCACCGCACCCAAGCATGAGGAGATTTTTTATTATTTTAAAAATATAGCTAAAAGTTACATGGGAATTAAAACCTGGCCTAGGAAACTGTATTATATATGGTCACCTTACCCTTAAACAATACCTAGATATTCTTACTACAAGCTATATCTAACAAGTAAGTTATCTGCTTTTTATATTTTAAACATATGGTATTGCTATATAAATCTGCAGTTTTTTATGGAAGTCTGGAAGTGTCTTTCAGATGCACAATATACCAATGTATTATCTTTTCTTTTAGGCCAAATGGCAGGCGACCACACAAGGCTGGAGTTTCATAACATAGAGACTGGCATCATAACAGAACGACGGTATCTTTCTTCTGTCCCCTCCAACTTCATTGGACACCTGCAAAGCCTGACATTTAATGGGATGGCGTACATAGACTTGTGCAAAAATGGTGATATAGATTACTGTGAGCTCAACGCCAGATTTGGCTTCAGGAACATCATTGCCGATCCCGTCACCTTCAAGACCAAATCGAGCTATGTTGCCTTAGCTACATTGCAAGCCTACACGTCTATGCATCTCTTTTTCCAGTTCAAGACCACATCCCTAGATGGACTAATCCTATATAACAGTGGGGATGGAAATGACTTTATTGTGGTTGAATTAGTTAAAGGGTACGTACATGTCAGTTCAATGAAAAGAGAGAAAAATAACTGTGCAAAGGTGAACTTTAATATCCAAAAGTCTATATGAAACACAATGTGTTAACATAATATGGTAGTAGGCAGGAGGGGGAAGACAAATGACTCATTTGTTCAAAACCTTTACTAGGCGTCTTCTGTTAGTATAAAACAATGCAGTTACTTGTATGTACAAAGTATACGTGTAAGTACAGATCAGCAGTTCATGGTAGGTGTCCTATGACTCTTATACTCCAAATGTGTATTTCCTGAGTTTTGACAATGCAGTTGCAGAGAAGTTTTATAGGCCACTCAGTGCTAAGTTAAATAGCTAATTCAGCTTATCGGATTAGTTATTTAATGAAACTCTAATTAATTCAAGCTTAGTTCTGTGATGAATAGTTCAGAAAGAATGTATTAATGAAGCATTTTGTTAATGTGATGACAAGTGGACACATTTTCATCAATGTGGACATTTATTCCTCTCCTCAGTGAATATTATTATACATTCACTATAGACTAGATAATACACCAGGCAACACACATAACATGCATAAAAACATGTAGTTTCCCTTGCTACCCTTGTATACATCTTAGATTCCTCCCAACCTTGTACCACATATACATACCAACATACAGCATGACTGAGTCCAGGTGAATAGGAAAGTTCAACAGAAAACCATGATAAGCAGTTTCCTGGGATGATCATGCGCACATTGTCAGGGGTCTTGGTAGAACAGAAAGTCAAATGGAGCAGGAAGTGTGTATTAGAACTCCGTGTTGACACATGAGACCACGTCTCCCATAGGAAGAATTGCTGTCTGTGTGATTGACCAAATGAGAGGGTGATAGAAACGGGAAATTCATAACAAAAGGTGGTATTTTCTCCCTTTAGTTTCACATCCAGGCAACTCCATCTCAAGATTCTAGAAGGATGACTGCACCTGAAAGTGTCCATTTATAATGTCTTGTTTACCATCATGGCTCATTCAGGACGCAATGACTCTCTTTCATTTTCTTTCTAGGTACTTACATTATGTGTTTGACTTGGGAAATGGTGCTAACCTCATCAAAGGGAGCTCAAATAAACCACTCAACGACAATCAGTGGCACAATGTGATGATTTCAAGGGACACCAGCAATCTCCACACTGTAAAAATTGACACGAAAATCACAACGCAAATCACAGCAGGAGCCAGAAACTTAGACCTCAAGAGTAAGTACTGGCTAAGTCACAGTGTACAGCATCCATACACGAGTGAAAAAAAAAACCCCTTTGCTCTGGGTACAGGCTCAGGCCTTCTGCAAAGGCTGACAAGAATTTCATTTTTTGCACATGATTAATAATACAACACACACGTCTCTTTTCTCCCTTTAATGTGTCACGAACATATGTATTTTTAATAACAGTTCAAAAATGCAACACCTAAGAATGCATGCATGATTAAAATTTAAAGAATGGGGGAAATGTGCTCATAATCTTGATATTGTCAAGAAAGGCAGGCTCCTGGAAGTCTTCAGTCCCAGTAGTTTCCTACCAATGTGGGGTTAATGGAACCAGATGTATACTGAGCTTCTCTTTAGTTTTCCCCCCTTTAGTTTCCTAGATGCTTTCAGACTCTTCTACCACCAGCTATGAGCCTGGCTTATCCTTTGTAATCAGTAGTGAGTTTTACTTTCTTCACCACCTCCCTGACATACACAGGCACACACACACATGCACACACGCTCACACATATACATACACACATGCTCCATCTATTTATCTACCTATCTATCTACCTATCTATCTATCTATCATCTATCTATCTATCATCTCTCTCTCTCTCTCTCTCTCTCTCTCTCTCTCACACACACACACACACACACACACACACACACACACACGGAATGCTGCTTTAATGAGCTGTTGAGAAGTCTTAGCTGTCATTTTCTTACTTTATTGAGACTTAATTTTTCAAATGCTTAGAAGACATGCTAAAAATGCGGAAAAAATAATGTTAGATCCTATTTGAATGGATCTTTGTGATTCACTGAGAACCATAGCCACATATCCCATCATAATGATCAGGACAAGAAGCATTGGAGAAGGTTCCATTAGCCTTTTACTCTGAGTATCGAAGAGCTGGGGCTTGAATGTCTCCACCAGGGATAGGACAGCTCCTGGAGGAGCAGAGAGTAAACCCAGAGCTCAGCACACCCCACTTTCTTTCCCCCTGCTCTGTCCTGATGCATGGCAAAGCCCCTCAGATATCATTCAGGCATATTTTGCTTTAAAAGGCTGCTCATGTATAATGATGGGATCTCTTCCTTGGATTCAGGAAGTAACTACATTGGAGAGTTACAGGACCAGAAAGGGGACAATCCAACAGTAGTTCTTCTAGAGAAAAAAAAAATGCAGCTTCTAAACAAAGTGAAAGAAGAACATGCTTCATTTTGTGTAATTGTAGAACATATTTACAATACTGGTTCCTCATTGTCACTCATAAAATACGGGACAGTGGTTGTCTCCCTTCTTAACTTCAAAGGTTTCTCATTTGCTTCAAATCTAATAGCTTAGCTGAAACCTGACAGGAAATTCAAAGAAATGCAGCTTACCAGGCTCTGCTGCTCCTCTGTCCTCTCTGTGACAAAAGTGACCAGAGCATCTGGTTTCTATGCAGAGGGTGCCCTCAGTGTGCATGGTGGACTCGGTGGTCATTTTCAAGGGAAGAGGGGGATTGTGAAGGACACTGACTGGCCAGGCCGGCCACAGCTGAATAAAACAATGCCTTGTTTATGTCAGAGAGATCACAGGGCACATATATGCCTGTTACCAGAGACCTCAGAGGCCATGTCTGAAATTCAGATGACTAGAAGCCCATGTTTCACCACTGCTGGAAGTATTCAATACTCACAGCCCTAGGTGGTGAGCTTTGAAATCCAGTTGGCTGTGTGATTCAGATGTTTGGGACACCAGATATTTGCTTCTCATCTATTAAAATGGATGCAAGCATACTAGGAGGTTGTAGTGGGGTTCTTTCTGATGGGGGTGCGTGCCATAAAGGTAGCTTTGCAAACCTTAGAAACATTTTCTTGAAAAACGGACTGCTTTTTAATACTGATTTTAAGAAAAGCACTTCCCATAATAATAAAAAAAATACTAAAACCACGAATTACATGGAGAGTGGACAAATTCAGACGTTAAGTCTGGTACTCTGGACTAAATACATGGTGTTTGGGCTTGGATTGGTTTGATCTGGTTTTTGGTTTTCTGAGACAGGGTTTCTCTGTGTAACAGCCCTAGCTGTCCTGGAACTCCCTTTATTGTCGTGTTTTAAAACACCAAAACTTGCCTGGTAGTGGTGGAGTGCGTCTTTAATCCCAGCACTCGAGAGGCAGGGGCAGGCGGATCTCTGTGAGTTTGAGGCCAGTCTGGTCTACAGGACAGCCAAGGCTACACAGAGAAACTCTTATCTCAAAACAAAAACAAGAACAACAAAAACTCAGTTTAAGTTAGAGGTTAATCTCTGAGATGAATAATTAGTTTTGTGTGTGTGTGTGTGTGTGTGTGTGTGTGTGTGTGTGTGTGTGTGTGTGTGTGTACAGGTGTGTGTAGTGTATGGGTGCTGGTGTAGACCCTGGAGGAGGATCTTGGATGTCTTGCCCTATCACTCTCTACCATTTTCCTTTGAGCCAGAGTCTCTCACTGAGTCTGGAGCCCCCGCCATACTCCTGTTTTGGCCCTGCCTTTCTCCGTGTTGGGTAGCAGGCACATGCATGGATGGGAAGGCTTTTTGTGTGGGTTCTGGGTACTGCACATCTCATGCATGTGTATGAAGCACTCTTACTTACAGATTCATCTCTCAGGCTGTGCAAATGAGATTCTTTACCAATACATTTTGTGAAGCCGCTGGGCCTCCAGACCGCTTCGATCAGGTCACAAAATGGGAACTAGTCCCTAAAACTAGGTTGAAGTTTCCACTTGTGAATGGATGTGTGACTTTTAATTGGAATGATAACCCCAAGGATCTTAATGGAGAGAGAAGATGACAGTGTCCTTCCATGAAAAGTTACCCTCCCCAAGAAACATACGAGTCAGAGCTCTCACATGCAGGACGTGCTGAGAGGGGAGCTATGGCGCCACATGTGGGCACTGGAACTGGGGTGAGCCAGAACACTTGTCTCTGAAGCCATCCATGTTAAGGGATGCTGGAAGCACAAGTGGAAATCACCAGGCGCTGTTTCTGCTTCCCTCCTGGGTACCTGTGAGGACTTAGGGTGGGTTCTGCATGTGAGCCTGCAGGACTCCACACCCTGAACTGACCATGCATGCCAGTCATGTAGAATGGAGCCTCTCGAGCATGCAAGAAAAATCCCCTCATCTAAGTCAGTGGTTTTATTTGCGGTTTGTTTTCGCTGAGACTCACCTTTGAGAATTAAATTTACTCTGATTTATCCAAATCCTTTTCAAATCTTTACTTCTCTAAACGAGACCAGTCTGCTTTAGCTATACCACCCGCCTTTGGTAGTTCGTAAAGTGCAGAATTCCATATCCTTCTCAGTCTAGCTCACTGGGGATGCCCCGGGAAACAGCCGGCGTCCAGTTAGAGGTCCCCACTACTTGCTGTGCATTAGCATCCTGAAACAAGGCACCGTTTATGTTAAACTAAAGGTTTAACTAACCTTGTAAGGTTTTGTGTGTGTGTGTGTGTGTGTGTAGGTCCGTCCTCATCTGAAGTCACTTGGCTGAATCAGATTGTTGGCACTTTCACTTACATGGCTCTACCCGAAAGGCACACCAGAGGGCAGCATAGTGCCATGCACTGTGTTCCATGATGCTGGGGCGGGGGATGAACTCACTCCATTCGCGCTGGGAAACAGAACCGCTTTGTTTCCAGAATCTAAAATGCCATATTTAGCCTTCACAGCAGTGCACGCTTTTGTCCGTGACTGTGTTTCATCTTGTAGATGTAGGGATGTGAAACCCAGGCCTCTCTCGTCCCCACCTCGACTCCGGTGGAAATAGTCACAAACGAGCCTCAATCTACGGCTCCTTCCCGAAGAGAACTCCATGCTGATGACCTTGTTCAAATAATCTTTCCTGACACTGCCCAAGTCTCGCGGGTGTGTGTCTCTCCCTGCTGATACAGCTTTGTTTTCATCTTTATTCCCAGCTGCTCGTGTCTATTCCCTTCGGCTATTATTTGCAAGCTGCAACCCGCATTGAAAGGCTCCGCCTTCACTTGCTCTCGGCCGATTCCGTAATGTCTCTCTCTGTTCATTTTGGAACTTTAGAGTCCCAGCCTCTTTAGTGAGATAATGTAATCCCTCCTTATGCGTCTCTTGTCCTAATTTGCCAATTGGTTTGTAAAAGTATATGGGAAAGAGCTGATTTTTGTTGAGTCCCTATTAAATACTCAGTAGATTTAAAGGAGGTTATTGTATGTAATCTTTATGAGTGTCCGGGAATTTGAATTGAGGTCAGTCTTGCTTATTCATTTATCTAGTTCAAGAATAAAAATAGAAAAGACGACTAGTTTTGGGTCTCCATCTTTCATAGATGCCCTTCTTTAAATACTAAATTAATCTGTCAGCAAATTGAGGCACGTTTGAATTTGATTGGGGCCGACCATGCTACTGGGTGTGTAGCAGAGAGTGCCCTCCTGTGGCCACATAGCAGAATTACATCACTAACTCAAGCCACCATCTAGGTCAGGCAGGTGGTGAGCTCTTTGTCCCTTCCTCCTCCTTTATCTCCTTTCACAAATCCCAAATTATTTCCCTCTTGAGGGTGTCCTGTTCCTCCTCATCCCTTCTAAGCATTTTTCATATCCCCATTCACATTTCAGCCTGAAGGTAGCTAGCTGCCTGCTATTGTTTCCCAAGCCCCCAACCAGAAACAGCCAGGAATTTCCATTGCAACAGGTTCCATCTCTAAGGAAGGATGTGCGTACATCCGAAGTTTGCCCCTTTCTGTTATAACTCAATTGGCCTGTTACTCAGTGGCCCCCATTCTCTGGGCCTGAATATAAGGCATATCAACCTGTTTTCTACCTTCCCACGTTGCACTTTGCAAAGCATTTACTGGGGGATGTTAATTCCAAAGTGTTGATCATGTTTAAACATGCCTGAGCTTTGTTGTTCAGCACAGGTGGCTTCTGGTAGACCGTTTGTCTTGCCCAGATTAATTTGCTCAAATTGGAACTGTTCAGAGAAGAATTTGACTTTGAACCT